TTGTTTGTTTCAATTTAGGGAATACCATGTCCTTATTTTAATAGTTACATAAACATGTGCCCCAAATTGAAAGATTAAGTTATAAATCTCAGACTTAGTATGACCTTTATTATCCATTAAAATTTAAGGACAGCTCTTAACCTTTTTGTTGCCCAATCAAGCTGTCTTATGAGACTTTGATTATAATTACTAATCTTTACTTATTTAATTTAAAAGTATTTTTGTTTTCAAATAATCTTCTATGATGAAAGAAGATATAAAAGGAGTATATATGACAAAAATCTCAAAGTAAAAAGGCAAATATCTAACAAGTTGTGGAAAATCTAGAGCCATGTTTTGACTTCTAATAGCATCCAGAACCATAGATAATGTAGTTATGTAGTAACCCAAGAATTTCTTCCTTCAGTTTCCAAACCACCACAGCGGAAGGGTCGTCCATGTCCCAGACCAAAAACCACACCAGGTCCTAAAACACCTGAGTCCAAACCAGGTAAACACGTATTCTGGGTTTAGAGTCCCAGCAGCCTAATTGAGCAGGATCTCAGGAGTAATATTTGGAGCAGGGAAAGGTAGATTAAGAGAGAGTGGAGCCTTGAAATCACCATAATACGTGGATGAGTAGGAAGATGGGGAGGAATAAAATCAGAAAGAGTGGGTAAAAATAGAGACTAAACAAAAGAAAAAGTCTAACCACAATACTAGTATAGAGGATGTCTGACTTCAGGGTGGTAGTCAAAGATTTTCTGGATCTAGATCGGTCCATGGACTTTCATGGTGGTGTTCCTAAGGCACCTGATGGAGCCGTTGAGATTTGATTCAGTAGACGGAAAACTCTTCTTTGCACATGAAGGCATGCTCTTTCTTTGCTTAGAATAGAGGGATGCACTATTTGATTTGTCATGAGGAGGCCTCAGTGTCTTTCCAAAGATAAGTTCTTAGCAATACCCACACATCCCACTTTGGCCTATTAGTTAGATAATCAAAGAAGGGGGAATAAGAAAATAAGTACCTGACTTGATATAACCAAATTTAACAAAAATATTTAACAGTTTTTAGAAGATGCTATATAGTTCTAGAAACTATATGACACTAATAAGATTCATTTTGAATCAAATGTTGCATTTTCTTTCATTTAAGACAATCATTTGGTTTACTTTTAATACTTTTGGTCAGTTTCTACTGCAGACTTTGAACCAGTAACGTTCAGCACTGAGGCTTGGGTGACAACACAAGGTAATAACACATTGTGATCCTCCCTAAATGCTTTCCTTCCCATGGTCAGACTCATTTCAACAACGTGGTAGCTACAGGTTCTTTTGTTTCTTAAAGCTGCATTGTCATTCTTTCTTGTCACTCTTTTATATTCTTCATCATAAAAGTATTGAAGATTTTGATTCTTAAAACAAGTTATACCTTGTTTCTCAGAGAGCCATGCATGAACCTAACTCAAGTCATCTGTTATGCATATAACCATCTGAAATTGTTTTATAATTTTATGTGTTTTTTTCACCAATGTTTTGTTAAAGGTGGTTTAAAAGCAATTATTTTGAATCTAACAACTATTATGGTGTCTAGGAGTTTCTTTGTGGATCTAAAGATCTACTTTTTTAAAAAAACTATGTGATATTTGTTCTTTGATAGACATTTTAGTTGATTACTGGTCTTATTTAGTAAAATGTCAAAGTTCGTATTTGAGTATCACCACCACAATAATATTTTAGCAGTGATTCTTACCTTTTTATTCAGCAGAAGAGTCATAAAAATGATTCTTCACTTCTTGAGTTAATAACTTAATTTTATATATGACTTATTTCCAATGAATTTCCAATTTTAAAAGAATAAATACTATTATTATAATAAGGGTGAAAATTTTAAATTAACAAGTTAAAAAGACACGTTTCCTAAAGTATAAGAAAATCTAATAAGTTTTAGGAAATTGAGAGCCACGCATCATGCTATCCATAACTTCTGAACTACAGACTCCTTAGTAACTGAAGGTTTTCTTTCTTCAGCTCCTAAGCCATCAAAACGGACCCGTCGTCCACGTCCTAAACCTAAAACCACACCAACTACTGAGGCACCTCAAACCAAATTGGGTAAATGTGGGTTTCTGATTAAGGGACTGAGTCCTAGCAGCTTTGGGGAGCCTAGGGTTGATGTCCATGGGTGGGAGTGATAGCCCATGAGAGCCTTCTGTGGGTGAAGGCACAAGATAATCTGCTGCTGCTCCCACTGTTGAGTTAGCAAAGGAAATCATGGTTGGGGGAGACCTGTGTGGCAGCTGAATTCCTTGTTCTTCCTGCATAAATATCTTCTCTTTTAATAGATATTTTATTTACTTTTCCTTATTACATTATATTCTCTTATTAAAGACAAAATATTTGAAATAGAACCAAGATTTTTAATTGAAGAACCAAACATTAAGTGCCTTTCATCCCTCTAGAGTCACATCAACAGCTGTGAGGATATCACAAAAGTAGGCAGCTTGTTTTTACTTCTCGTCCGTGGTATAGTCAAAATCAAAACCTACCCCAATATGAAACATTCAGAGATTGAACCAAGGCAGTGTGTCTGTGCAAATCTAGCTTGTTCTTTCTGCAGAGGCTGTGAACATCTTCAGAGAAAGAGAGAAGTCTGTGAAGGACAGGAGTAAGGAGTTAGAAACAAGTTGGGTCTTAAAATCATGAAAATGAACAGGCAGAATAAAGGGGGTACAGAGGCCAACCAGAGGCATGGGCTTCTGGAAAAAGGGGGTCCTGCTTCTAAATGGTGATGATAGTGCTGTGTTTGGAAGGGTCCACAAGAGTAGTAAAAGAAAAGTCCTTGAAGTTATGACTCCGAAGTTTGGATCTGACCCTACAAGTATCATAGGATACCACATTTTTGTGATCAGAGATGTGCTCTATTGGGCACCACATGCTGAGTGAATGTGCCTTATCCTGATTTGTTGGGTGCCTAAACTAAGTTTGAGCCTATTTCCAAATTTGAGTTTTCAATGAGATGAACACGGTTCACTTTGCTTTATTCTTTATTCTTCTTTCAAACATAAATGCTATGTATTATATGATTCTTTAAACATGCTATTTTCTTAAAGCTTCCACAGATTACCAACAAGTGCCAGAATAGTTACCTAAATATATCTATATATATAAAAACCTAAGCAACCATTCACCCATTTGACCATTCAACCATCAGGGGGCAGACACTCAACTCACTGACCACCAGGGGGCAGATGCTCAACACACAAGCATGGAAACATGGAATAGAGTGATAAATCTCAGAGGAAAGGGGAGAGGGGGAGGGCAGGAAGAGATTAACAAAAGATCTTATGTGCATACTAGAGGCCTGGTGCACAGATTCATGCACCGGTGGGGTCCCTCAGCCTGGCCTGCCCAGATAGGGCCAAAATCAGCATCCGAGGGGTCCCGGATTGTGAGAGGTCATAGGCCAGGCCAAGAGACTCAACCAGTGCATGAATCCGTGCACCAGGCCTCTAGTATTTAATAAAATGTTTAAACAAGTTTCCAAGAGCAATAGTTAGAATTAGGTACTTACAAGTATCATGTTGACTTTATTGAGATACTTATTAGATTTGTGTTAGGCTATGACTGACTATCTCATAAAAGAACATTTACTTGGCTATAGGGTGGTTGAGCCTTTAAATAACAAGTATTTAATTTTAGAAAAACATTTAAAACTGCTGTACACCTCTTAAAGCAGTATTATATGTGTAAGATTTAATTTGCTGACTTTCACAAGTATTTATTTTATTGCTTTTTGATTAGTTCCTATTACAGATCTTGAGCCTGGTACTCCTAGAACTGAAGCTCCAGAAATCATAGGTAATGAGAATGTGTGTCCTTCAAATAGTGCTTTTCCTACTCATTGTCATACCATTATAGTAACAGGGTCTCCTTCATCTTAAAACCATCTCAACATCTGTTGTTAATCCATTAGTCTTCATCTTGAAATTATGCTAAGCTCTATGTCAAGCTATCTGTTGGATTTACGAGAACTGTGCATAAACTAATTTTAGGACATCAAACTGCCATGTAACTTCTCAACATTGTGTCACATGATCATGTGCATTTCTCTTTCAAGCTTCATTTCAAGCATGACTTTCCATCCATTCCTTACTTACACTGCTTAAGTCACATCAATTCTGGAAATACTGTATTTCTTTGCTCATATTATTTTTTATTATATTTTATTGTATTAGTGTCTCTGTGATTATACTGGTGGATATATTATTTCAATAAATAATATTTTTAGTTAATTGTTAAGATTTTAAATGTGCTAAGTCTTGAAAGTTTAAATGACAAGCTTATATGACAGAGTAGACTGACTCTTCTGACAGGGTTTAAAAATGTTTCTTAACTTATTGAATCAAGGACCACTTTAAAATTTTGATGAGCACAGTCCATTTAGTATGCATTGATCCTTACGTTTTCAAACATATGAACTCATAATTGTACTGTGGTTATTTAAATTCTAGACAAAAATAATAGGCACGTATGTCAATTTGTACGGAGGGCAAGTAGACTGATAAAGGCTTTTCCCAGTAGAGTTAGAAACGTATATCTTATACAAATGTGCAAAAAATCTTGTCCAGGAGAGTTTTCCATATTAGCAAGAGTTGTATAATCCAACATCTTGTTAACCATAGTATTTAGTGGAGTACAATGCTATATCTAAGGAGATTAATGGGTACTTGGCCATTTGGTCAAACCTGCAAAGAACAGGTGTCTCTTTTCTCTCAGTTCTGAAGTTTAAAAATTGACCTCTGAAATTAGTCATCAAAAGAATTTTTAAAATTTCTTTGGCTTATTCTATTATTTTTGGCCAGTTCTTCCCACAGTCCTTCAACCTGTTACTCTTACATTACGTAATGATATTCTGTGTTTCTTATCAACTTTTCTGCCCATTGTCAACCTATTCAACCATCATCATAATCAAATTGTCATCAGCTTCAAAGGACTGTCTTGTCATCCTCTGCTGTCTTTCAACTTTATTTTTCTTCTTCTTAAAAGTATTGCAGATTCGCCCTAGCTGGGTTTGCTCAGTGGATAGAGTGTTGGTCTGTGGACCAAAGGGTCGAAGATTTGATTCCAGTCAAGAGCATGTACCTCAGTTGCAGGCTTCTCCCTGGCCCAGGCCCTGGTCAGGGCTCATGCTGGAGGCAACCGATTGATGTGTTTCATATCTATGCTTCTCTCTGTCTTTCCCTCTCTCTTCCACTCTCCCTAAAAGTCAATGGAAAGATATCCTTGGGAAAGGATTAACAAAAAAAAAAAGTATTGCAGACTCTTAAAAGAAGTTACCTATTTTTAAAAGCTATTCATGGACCTAGATTAGAATGTTTGTGTTATTTGAATTTTTTTCATGTACTTTTGTCTAAACAGAGCTCACATATAAAGCTAAGTTTCAAATGCAGTGGGTAATGTCTGTATCATCTCTAGACTAAACTAAACATAACAATTGGTATAGTGCCATGGATTCCTTGGCATATTTAAATTTCTTGGTGTGAATTTAAGACCACACAACCTACAGTTTGGCTAGAGTCCTTACCTTTTTTCGAAGTTAAGACTCTTGTATTTTATCTCTCAAGATTCTTTAGTAATTAATTTACCTTTTTTCAAAGTTAAGACTCTTCACTCCTTGACTTAATTTTATGTATTTTATCTCTCAAGATTCTTTAGTAATTAAGGGAAATTAACAAAATGGTAGAAAATATTTTAATCTTAAAATTTATATAACTTAAATTTCAAGGAAATATAACATATTTTAGAAAATCAAGAGCCTTATTTCCAAAACCACCTTCACTAGAGTAATCCAAAATTTCTCCCTTCAGTTCCTAAAACACCACAATGATCTCATCTTCCACATCCCAAACAGATTTTCCAAAGCAAGCTTTCATATTAATTAAGAGTCAGAAAATCAAACACCTTGGAAAACCTCATGTTGACCATAATAAGATGTTTAACTGAGTTCAAGAGCTGTGACTACTTTCTGCAATGAATTATTCCTAGCTACAGTCTGACCAAAACTTCAAAAAGAAACTATTTACTCTTTGTCCATTCAAAGGTTTAAAAAAATTGTTTGTCATTTGAAACTAATGTTTTGAAGGAAAAATTAAGACTTTCTATGTGTGTTTAAACTTTCTCATTTTCATGTTGTTGCTTTTGGTTAGTTCCCACTACAGGCTTTGAACATGTTATTCATAGTTGTGAGGCTCCAGAAACATTAGGTAACAATTTTTATGACCTCATTAAACATCTTCTTGCTCATTAAAACCCATTCCATCACTGTCACAGCCAGAGTTGCTCTTGCTTTCTTAGACTACTATTGATTGTCATTCCATTTCATACTTCATCATGTAAGTAGCCAGGATTCTTAATTCCAGTGTTACCTATTGTTTTTAACAAATGTCCTTGGATCCAGTTGAGGAAATCTATCTGGTATGAAACCCCCTTTAAAATTTTATTATATGATTCAGTGTGAAGAGTCTAAAGATCAAATTGCTCTCCTTCTATTTGGTATTTAAATCTATAAAACAATGTCATCTAAGTAACATGAACTTTCTCTGAGCAACTTTACTTTCTAAAGGTTTTTTTGATATTCTCATTACTCTATTCCTATTTTAAGGAATGAGGATTTCTTATTGTATTAAATTATCAAAAAATGTTGCCTCCTGGAAGTGCCAATTCTAATAAATATAAGTTACAGGCTCTGCAACCTTTGATGAATTTGGCTATTCATTATTTTCCACCACAGTATAGCATTGTTCTTAATCTAAGTAGAAATTTCTCTGAGTATCTAATTATGCATATTAATATTTGTTCCTTTAATCAATAAATTTTATGTATTAAATTGGACTCTAAAGGACCTTCAGTGATGATAAGGAACAAATTATGTTAGTATAATAAATTTTTTCACACTTCGGAAATAAACTCAAGAAACTGTCTAATATGCTTTAGAAAACACAGGTCCTATGTATAATGTTGGTGGTTGTTTCTAGACCTTCAGACACTATAGTAACCAAGATCTTCTTTCTTTAATTTTAAAACAATGGGAGGGGGGAAAAATCCTCCTCTCAAACTTGCATCTTCCTGAAGCTTCTCCATTGAAAACAAGAAAATCTATGGTTTCTGGTTTAAGAGTCCTTCCAGCCCATTGCAATCGGGCCCCAGGAGTGACAAATCGATATCTTGCTAACTTGCACTTCTCACTTCTATGCCTTCTAAATACGAAAGTGAAAATAATGGTTAGGATGTCTACGACTGCAGGGTTGACCAGAAGGCTCATGGTTGGGAGGCCTATGTGGTAGCTAAATTTGTCATGTACCCTGCATAAGGAGTGTCTCTGACAAAGGATGTATCTTATTCAATTTTTTTACTATTCCACTTCATTCATCTCTTTTTTTTAAAGTGCTGCTTCTTTGGTTTATGTAAACAAACATTTCCTTGGCCTATGTGCTCTCAGCACCATATTAGCAGTTGAGTGTGGTGGGGTGGGGACCTGAACAGAGATGGAGATCAAAATAAGAGTGTGTTTTACCTTTTGAACAGATGATAATATAATTATGGAAAAAAACCTGTTCTCGAGGTTTTTTTTAGATATTAAGACAATTTGCTTATACAAAAGCAGCTTGTTTAATTGAGTGGTAAAAATATGCAGAGGAGCCCTGACTGGTTTGGCTCAGTGGATAGAGCATCGGCCTGCGGACTGAAGGGTCCCGGGGTCGATTCCAGTCAAGGGCATGTACCTTGGTTGCAGGCACATCCCCAGTAGTGCGTGTGCAGGAGGCAGCTGATCGATGTTTCTCTCTCATCGATGTTTCTAACTCTCTATCCCTCTCCCTTCCTCTCTGTAAAAAATCAATAAAATATATTTAAAAAAATATATGCAGAGGAAATTTTAAAGGAGTCAAGGATCTATGTTAAAAAATAGATGGACTTTGAAATAACTTTGGGATTTGAATTAGTAGATGGAAGGGAGGGAACAGCAAAAATAAAACAAAATGTCTCACCCCCTACTGAGGGTACCCAAAAGGGCAGTCAAACTGAAACATAGAACAAAATACTGTTAGGTGATACTGAGCATTATGTTAATGATACTATTATGAAATCAGCTGTAGGAAGCTCTTAAAAGCCCTTGTGAGAATTCAGATTCAGATGCAATAATTAATGATAAAAAAAAAAAAACAATAAAAAACCTGATTTTTTAAAAAAAAGCTTTTGCTTTTTCTAGAAGGATGCTTTAGATCAGGGGTCAGCAAAAATTCTTATGTGAAGAATTAGTGAGTATTTTAAACTTTGCAGGCCAT